CATAGACTCCAGTCAGTCAAAATGACTATTTTGAACTGTAGGCAGAGTCAGACACCGATAGGTGGCAGGTTTTTCTGAGCAAACAGAATGAAGAATGATGAAAGTCTTTTCCCAGTCCGGGATGAAAACAAACTCAACACCCTAGTTAAGAAATCCCCCCCCCCCAAAAAAAAATGGGGGCGTGTCTTACCTTGCCTGTGCTGTCCCCGGAATAAGAAGCCAAAATGCTGCTATGGTGACAGGGTTTGGTGTGCCCGAGAAAGCTAGACCCCAACCCAATACTGGGGGTAGTAAGCTTTCGAAGTAAAGACCGAAACAGTTCTGCATGAGGGCATAGGCCGTAAAGCGGGACCTGGGAGCTTCCAGGGTAGTGCTGATGGTAGAGAAATCTGTCCGCATAAAATGCCGGACTGACTTATTGCCTATGCGCAGGGACCCTAGCGGTCGTTCGGGCAGAGTCAGCAAACCAAGACTGACCCGCTAATGCGAAACTAATGCGGGAGCCATATCCTTGGGCTTGTTCATCCAATAGATGCGCTCCCCAACCCTGGGGGGAGGCATTTGTTACCAGAGTCATACCTGCGGCGAGCGGGTCCAAGGGGGCCCCTCTGCCCGAGGTTGGCCAGTGATGACCACCAGGGCAGGGCTTCCTTCACTTTGTTCGAGATCGAAACCCGCCTATCTAGTTCCCATAAAAGAGCTCGGCGTCATAACAAGCGTTATACCGGGCGGCTGCGTAGTGTGGCCTGGGGAACGACCTTTCGAACTGAGGTCATCATTCCGATGATCCGCCTTAGTTCACGGAGGGACACCGAGGGAACGCTGACTAGGCATTCGGCTAGGCTGCTTAGCGCTAAGCAATACGCTTGAAATAGCTAAGCCAAGCTTACCTCTGTGTCAAAACTCCATGCCCAGGGACACCAACTGTGCATTGGGTCGAGGTGGGACTTGTCGATTAACACCCAAAATTCGAATACTTGGCCCAGCTGGGCGATTTGAAGGAGATGGCAACTCGCTGGGTGCATCGGTACGTGCAGCTAGGCCCCAATTAAGTCTAGCGGGGCGAGCCAGTCAAAACGGTGAATGGAGAGAAGAATCCTGAATGGTGTCTTCATGTGGAACCGATCGAGGAGCACGTACTGATTCAGTCTGCCTAGGTCCAAAACTGGACGCCTGCCACTTGTAGATTTGGTACTACGAATACATTTGGGTAGAAGCCTGGACTTAGCTCCGGTTGATGTACCCTGTGTATGGCATCTCTCCCCAGCAAACTGCTACTTCCTGTCTGATTGCTTCCGCATTGCGGGAGTCCCCTGGCAGTGCCCAACAGGGGAGACACTGACGAGGGGAAATGGAGATTTCAGCGGTATCGTGTAAACGGATGTCACCACCACCACAAAGGTCCAGGGATCGGTCACCCGCCGTCTCCAAACCGGACTACACCGGCGCAATCTGTGTACGACAGGGATATGTGGCCATGTGTTCGACAGTTGTGAGGGGGGTCGGGGGTGGTGTGGTGTGTGTGTGCTCCCTTCCCCCATGAGGTGAGTTCCCCAAGGCCTGAAGTAGTCACTAAGTTGTGACCTGGCCAAACCCCCCCCCCCCCCCCATTGCAGAGGTGGGCGTCAAACATGCGTCCCCTGCTGCCGGATAGACGTCCGCCCAGAGAGGGTGAGGAGCCACCACCTGGCTCTTACCTCCCTGGGGGCACGCCACTGCCCCTCCCTCCCATGGAAGGGTATAACCGCTTGCTTCCTGGCTGACTCTGGCTAGCGGACGACGCCCTAGGGCATTGTGTTTTCTGTGTTTGGGGTGCCCTCCCGTTTGCCCATGGCAGGACCAACTGGCTAGCGGATTCGATCTGAACCCTCTGGTTCATTGCACTCCGAAGCTCCGAGACTGTACCCACCATTCCCTAAACAAAGAGGGTGGGGATGTCCAGTCTGCGTCACTGACGTGGGGACGTACCCTGGCTCAGCTTGTCGGCGAAAACACGCGCGTCTAAGGCAACGTCTTGTAGCACAGTAGTGGCCCCGGCCAAGAGAGCCAAGTGACACTAGGGGGTGTCGCATGTAGATGTGAGGTGGCCCACCAGTAAAAATGTCGCCTGGTCTAGGAGGCTGGTGCGTTCTGCCTCCAAGGTCTCCAGAGTCCTGGGCACTCATAATAATGCGCTCAAGCAACTCTGCCCTCAGGGCTTGATGGGTCGTCTTCAATTGGCAAAGACACCCATGGAACGCGGCTATCCCCCTTTGCCCGGTTTGCCAAATTCATGGTACCGGGGTCTGGGGAAGGAGCCTTGGAATCCGGTTGGGGGCGTCTCATCCCACGCTATGGGGTCTGATCCCGAAATCACACCGACCGGGTAGCGTTTGGTCCAGTGGGAAGTGTTGCCTAATGTTATCCCCACCCGGGGGCCTTAAGCATTACATCTTCCGCGGCTGACCAATGCCGCCCATCAACACTGTTTGCATGCTCTGCGCCCAACTCCGCACCCAGACGAACAGGGAGAGACGTGCCGACGGGGTTGCTTTGGATCCCAACGCCCGTGATCCCAAAAGCGTTGAAGCAACCTTAGGTGGTCGCTTTAGGATCAAGGGTGGGGGTATATACATCGTATCACTGGGATCGATGATACTCCGCCTCACCCCAACGCGAGCGAACTGCATCTCCTTTCACTTTAAATATGTGAGAGGGAGCGTGTTTGACTGTGCGTCTCATGACAGGGTCGGTTCCCTCTGGGGACGCCCGTGGGTTGGTAAGAAAGGAGTCAAAACCCACAGCGGAGACCAGACACAAGGATAAATTTGTTACCGTTGTACCGTTACCGCGTGACGAACCCTAGCTGGCTGAAAGTGGGGGGTCAACATGTGCCCCTCCCTGAAAGCCCTGCCCCGAGATCGGAGGCTTGGCTGCCAGCACCCCGTTGGTATTCAGTGCCCGAGGCTCTAGAGGAGACCCGGTGCAATTAGCCTGAGCCTCGGCCTTCCCCCCCAAAATAGTGGGAGAGCCGTGACTGGGAACAAAGGTTCCGCGGAAGAGACGTGTTTGAATGTAAACATGCTTTCGTGTCTCTTCCTGCTTGCCCACCGAGGGGACACAGTGGAGACAGCTCGCTCCGACTGCGTCTGATCTACCCGGCCTGCCAGGGATGCAATTGCCCCGACAGTCCTCAACTCGGAGGCAAACCCGACGCCGTGCGAGGAAGGGTCCACAAAGAGACCCGCACCGGCCCCATAGGAGGAAAGCCTCCAGGGGCACAGCCTCGCTGCAGCCGGTAAATTCGGGTAAAAACACTGCCTGAAAAAACAGACTGTGAGGATGCCCTCATTTCAGCAGGGGAGACCGAGAAAAATATCGGTACCTCCACCGTCGGGCCTCTTACTCGACGTCCCGGTACACCAAGTACCGATAGCCGAGCATGAGGACTTTCCTCTCATGCAAAACACGCAACTCACTTTAACCGATTTATTTACTGGACGCGCAACCTTGCTGTGACGCGGTCAGTCTCAGCGATTTTGATGGCTCTGAAAGAAAATCTCAGGCCTCAGAACTCCAGTGAAAAAACACACACCTTCACGCAAAAACCCCAAACCCCGCACGTAGCTACGACAAAGTATCTTGGATGTGGGTTCTATGCTGGTAATTTCTGAATATAACCACTGCACGGTCGACTCGAAACTAGAGGAGACCGGAAGGAAAACGGCAGCGAGCCCTGGTGCTGTCGTGACCTCTATATATTGCTAAATACATTGTAAATAAAAGACGACATGCATGAGGGAAAAAAACGAAATACAGTTGTAAAAGGTGCCGCCACGAAATCAACCAGTGGTTACGTAGAGGCGCCAGGTTTTAATTTCTTTGTTGTGAAAAATACTACACACAAAGGGGAAAACGACACAAGGGTAAAAATGACAAGGAAAACTTATCCTACCAGCTACAATGTCGGATGCCGGGCAGCAGCAACAACCCAAGCTATAAACCCGTAGGCAATCCAGCAGAGCTCGCTAGATTTCATCTCCACTCGAGGCGGAGAGAAAATCAGAGTGATGGACGGCTACCTGTGGCGCTGTCAGGTGGCCTCGGTCACGTGGGTTCGTGACGTTAAGGGGTAAAAGGATCTTGAGCTCATTGGGCTTCCCCTGACCTGGATTCTATCTCTCCGTCACTGGCAGAATCACTGATTAATGCCTACAGTTCAAAATAGTCATTTTGACTGACCAGAGTCTATGGTGGGTAATTGAACGTAGTGAATTTTACTTTTGAAAGCATATATCATTTTTGAAAACATGGCTCACCGTTCATTGCTAAACAGAAGATAATTCTGTTGTACATGTACCTATTTTATCTAGAGTATGACCTCTGACGAACTGATTTGCTGAATCGTATGAGACACAGTAAAGCACTGAAAATGATCTTTTTTAGAAATGATTGAGAATTCTGGGTAGGTCATAACACTAATTATAGTAGAATAACTGTTTAACATTTCAGACGCTGACTATCTCTTTGGTAGAGTACCTCAGAGAGTGGTTGATGACGAGGAAGCAACCGTATTAACACTGCATGAACAATCCCTGGACATAGATACGATGAAACACGTATGTAATAATGCTTATAAACAGTACGTTAAGTCCCGTCCAGCACCAGCACCTGAGAGTGTCAAGAGAATGAAAGAAATAGACGTTTCACGTATTGCCATTCATCCAATATTTGGTAAGTCAACTCATTAATGTCACTTCAAACTTTCCAAAAGACACCCCCCCCAAATATGTTAAAAAATTATGTTGATTTGATTCAAAATTAACCATGAAATAACCATAAAATTTTGTACCAAAAATTGTGTTTTAAAGGATAAAACATTTCATGGAGATCTATTCTTGGACACAGATGAAATTGTTGCTGTACTAAAGTGAAAATTCAATATGGCTGACTGGCAGCCATCTTGTTTTCTTCATTTGTCCTTATGATTTTTTTTTTACACTATTTGACACAAAGCCAAAACATAATGGTTTGTGTATTCTCTTTAGTTGGTGGTTTTGATGAAATTAATCAAATGGCAGCCATTTTGTTTCATTTCTAACATACAGGAATGTCAATTTTGTTTTGATACAATTTCCATGACACCCCACCATGAGCTAATTAATATTCATTTTTCAATTCTACTAGCTACGATTTAACTACTTTAATTATTGTAACTTTTATTTTAAATATTTCAATGTAAAATTAATCTGATTTGATAAAAGTGAAAAAATATATTATTTATTTTCGCAATCACGTCTAAAATGCGTATTTTGAGACATTGACCTCTGACCTGGCAGCCATTTCTTTTTCAAAGCATGTTGTCTGTTTGTTACGGCTGAAGTAGACACAAGAATTTAATTGTTTTCTTTTCCAATGGAATCCAATTGATAGTGAAAATAAATATTCCTTGTATCGCTGGTCGCTAATTTGTTGTCCTGGTTGGAAATTCTGAGTGCCTGTTGCTAGCGACCGCCGCAGCCCAACATGGTAAGATCCTTGTTTAATTTATTTATAAGTCACTGATTATATTTCTATTTTTAGGTGAATACATCGATAAAGATGAAAATAATAGAGTTCAAATGGTCGATGAAATAAAGAAATATAAACCTCATACGGTAAGCTTCAAATAGTTCAAACAAATTGTAATGTGATGTACAGTAAGTCAATTTCATTCAATCTGGACTCCTGAATGGGATTCTAGGTTGTATTTCATTGTTCTCTTTGGGTAAAAATTCAGTGATTAATTTGTATAATTTACAATATTCATTTTTTTTTTACAATAGAAAGTTCTTGAACATGGTATTTTATTGGTTAAGCACGGTAAAATATTGTTTAAATGAAAACCCCAATTTTTTTTTCTTTGAAAGACAATCTTTGAAGTTGGTGTCAGCACAAAAAGTCAACCAAAATACTCAGTCATGAAAGCGAAAAGGCGTTTACATAGTAATGCGATTGAAAAATACAAAGTGAAGAAGAAAGAGGAGATAGAGAATACAGCCATGTTGCAGAACATAAAAGAAAAAGCGGTTTTCAGTTCAACAGAAATGAGCACTGATAAAGATTTAGAGGTGAGAAACCATTCTAAAGTAGGATAAAATGTCAAAACACTGAAGGACTGAGATAAAATATAGTTTGATTTATATGTGTACTGTTGCATGCATTGTGTACAATGAAACGACTGAACACCAAAGAGACTGAGAACAGTGTTCAGTTTATAGAGACTTGTATTCAGTGAAGAAGGTACTAGAAAATGATTTTATACCAGGTTTGTACTAGAAAAGTTGTAATGCATTTTTACAAGTTATACTATAATTGGTTGTCAAACAAAGTGTCCTGATTTCCTGATCAACTAAGGTGGCCAATCAGAATACTCTTGTATCATGAACTATGAATATTCATAAGCTGTGCTGTTGTTTGCTACACAGGCTGTGTTTTCTACTGTTGTTGCACCGGGACTGAAAAGAAAAAGACGAATTGAGGCCATGGAGAGAAAGACAAAGAAACAAAAACCTGTGGTGTCAGTACGAGATGATGACTACTATATTCATTACAGATCTCAGGATCATCATGCTGAACGGGGGTAAGACGTCGCTACCGCTCGGACTTTAGGAGTATTCAAATTAGAGGTTTTTTATTATTTTACATTTCAATAACAGGTCTTTAAAGGTGGTGGTCGTGGCACAGCACATATCCAAATTTTGCGTTAACATACAATGCATTTTACAAATGTATTATACATCGCTATGGGTCCCATATTGAACATGACACAGTGCAACGACCACTGCCCTTTAAAAGCAACTTTTTTTGCCTCTCTTTTGTCAAATGCCATGGTTACACTATAATTGATACTACTTTATTTTCTTACTTCTCCTAGGTTGTCCATTGGTGACTGTAGTTTTGACCAACAAGCGTCGCGAGCCATGCTTGACTTGACGGGTGATGATGCAGATATGATGAAAAAACATAAAGACAATATAAAATGGTGAGTATAGAGTACTTCCAGTGTAGAGGGATTGCTTCAGGTCTCAGAGTTTAGACATTCTTGAACACCAACAATTTAGTTTTTCATACTATTATCGTATTT